TATGTATTTTCTATAATAAAATAATATTAATTCTATAATTTCTAAAACTTAAAACCTTTTTTTCAATCAGGTAAAACCATCATTTTAACTTTTAGGTACATTTAATATATTTAATGGAAAAAAGTAAAATACTATAAAAATGTAGTTAAATAATGAAGAATCATATTTAATCATTTTAATTTAGGCTCTTTATGCACTAATATGACACATATGACAATATGTACATATACATGATGCACTGAAATGGACAGCTTTGATAATGAACTGATGAACCTAACTTTAAATATCGAATGCTCATTTTGCTATAAAACGAAATAAAAAAACAATTACATAAAATTTTTTTAAAATACATAGTCTATATATTATATAAAAATTCTGAAAAATAATTTTAACAATTGTCATACCTTAAAATAATTGTCATCGAAGAAGTTTAGTGCTTAGAACATTTAAAAAACCCAAAAATACCAAGCCATTTGACTAAAATTCTTTGTAATTCATTTGTAGTGATGATTGCAAAGCAAGCATTAATATTACCATTAATTATTGCTCATACTAAGGCTTTGCAAAATAGTTCAATATATATATATTTAATATCTCAATATTTATGTTTTTGCTATAAAATGACTTAAAAATATTCAGTCAGTTAAACCATAATCAACAACTTGTAGCCAAGTGTATTTAGTATATTTACTGTAAAAAGTAAAAATGTTAAAGTTTAGTTAAAGTTTTTCACTAATAAAAAATGATGATAATTAATGTTTTTTTTAAAGGTAGGCCTTTTATGGACCAATATAACAAATCTAATAATTTTAATATATGAAAAATGACACATGAACAATTTAAATATAACATAAGCAATTCATTGAATTTAGTTGAGTTCTGAATTGATATTGATTTGAAACGGACAGTTTGAACTGACTGATGTACTGTAAATTAATCATACATAACGACTAATGCTGTTTTTGCTATAAAAACAAAATTAAATATATAAGTTTAAAATATTATAAAAAACAATTAAGCAAGGCTTTGCAAAATAGCTCAATATTTTTCAGTCCCAATATTTTTCTGACTATTTATGATATTCAGTATCTCAATATTTATGTATTTGCATTTTTTTCCCCAATCAGGTAATCTATAATTTAATCTAGTAAAAAAAAAGTAAAATGCTGTAAAAATTTAGTTTAATACTGTAAATGTTTTTCACTAAAGAAGAATAATGTTTAATCATTTTAATTTAGGCCCTTTATGCACTAATATGATAATACATCAAATAAACAGCAATATTTAAATTGTTTTTTTTTTCTTATATTTCTTAAGTATTTTAGTAAATATAATCTAGGTAAATATTGCTGTTTATTTTATATATTGTCTCATTAGTGCATAATGAGCCTAAATAAAAATGAGCAATTACGCAAGCAAGCAATTATTATATTTATTTGAGCATATTCTCACCTTTGAATGGTTAGTCTGTTTCTTCAGGAATTTAAATCTTGGAGGTTTTTAAACCAGAGGCTATGCAATGTTGTGGCATCTTGGAAAAATTGATCTGTACTGTGAGTGACGACACTGTGACCGTTCCAAGATGGCAGACGCGTCGTCGTGTGGAATGTGGAATCTACGAATACATATATATGGTAGCAACAGCACAGCATTGTGCTAATAATAACTACTCAGAAGCCTTTAGCTACAGCATAGCAATGCACTGGAAGTCACTTCAACATATTTTTGTACAGTCAAGCAGCACTCAGATTTACTTAATGTTTTAATGCATTATCACTGAATATATGATATGGGTTATTAATCTGATTTGCCTCCAGAAGTGGAGCTGTTTTTCTTAATGATGAATTTAGAGATTAGGAACTCAGTCTAAATCAAGGTTATTTGGCAGCGTGATGGTTTACATTATAACATTTCCATTTATCCTCTGCCAGGTTTCATGTCATTTGATTTATTCAAACATCTGCATCTTTGTCAGCCATATGATCTGGATACTGTGGATCCAGCAGAGTAGATAACTGACCATAAATGTGATTGAACTGTCTAAACGTTTAGGTTTTATACGTGTGCTACTACATGAGGAGAAAACCACAGGACAGCACTGAAGCAGCATCTCAAAGCCTCAAGCGAGAGTCATATTAAAGAATAATTCGGTTATGCGCCACATAAACCCATTACTCGTGAAATAGCCCTGTGCTGTAAGAAGGCAGGAAAGCCGTTTCACATATCGGATCAGAGGTTTATCATTTGCACCTTGTCTCATATCAGATAGCCACAGTCTCGTTGGATAAAGTTTGAGATGTCACTGTTACTATGGAAACAGAAAGCACATTAATAGCACTCAAATGAAAAGGGTTTCTCTACACTCTCAAACCGCTTTCATATTTGTACACTTAAAGGGATAGTTCACCCAAAAAAGAAAATTCTGTCATAATTTACGCCATTGACTTCCATAGTATTTTTTTTCCTACTATGGAAGTCAATGGCAACCACCAACTGTTTGATTACCAGCAATCTTCAAAATATCTTCTTTTGTCTTCAACATAAGAAAGCACCTCATACAGGTTTGGAACGACATGAGGGCGGGCGAGTAAATGATGACAGAATTTTCATTTTTGGGTGAACTATCCCTTTAAGAAAAATGGTTCTAAACAGTACCAGAAAAGGGTTTTTAGAGCTAAATAGAACCTTTTTTATAGGGTTCCATATAGAACCATGCTTTGAAAATGATATATAGGACCTTAATGGTGTTATACATAACCTTTTTAATGATAGTTTTTCATTAATATTAGTGTTAATATCATTAATATTAGTATTATTTGTTTATATTATTTATTAATATGGTTTTGTACCCCTCTATCTGCCTGGTCTTATGATATCTTGAAGTGTCTATTAGGGTTTTACATAAAATCAACAACAACGTATCAATAAGGTACTTTTTTTTTAATGACGTGAAATTGTAGCAAAAATGACAGTGTTCTAACAACAGTTATTAGCAGAATACATTAATGAATGACAATGGACATTGAACATAAATAAATGCTTAAAGAAGTAAAACGAAATATAACATAAAATAGTGTATTGAAGACCAAGCTCCAGTGAAATATCTTCACAATCCTCTTTGATGCCTTTAAGTTAATCATTATGTGTATTTTGGTGTGATTGAATGGCAGTTTCTCTCTGCAGATGATGAGGTTGTAGGATGTGACAGCATCTGAAATGCACAATTGAGTTTAGATATACAATGTGTCTCCTTTCATCTGTTTATGTGAAAGCAGTTGTTTATGAAGGCCAAAAGTAGTATGTGAGCACTTCACAATGTTTAAAGGAAAAAAGTAATATAAAGTCATGGGATAGCTGGGTATGTTTATGCATAAACCCTAGTAATAAAAAATATCTAACAAAATGGACCATAAATTCAATATCTTTGTTACTTACTTAGTGAAGAAGAGGAGAGTATCCTTAACTGAACAGAGCTGGTCACACTTACATGTTCTCTTAAACTAAAAAGAGAAAAGACAAAGGAAACCAATTAGCATTTGAAAGTTATAATTTATAGACATTTTAAGAAAGAAATGATTTACCTGTTGAGAGTGTGTTGACAGTCTGTGTAGTTGGATGGCTGAGCTCCAGAAAATCAGTAATGAGGCATCTTAGAGTGTAGCCTCAGTTAGGGTTTTACATTAAAACAACAACAACCACCACAACAGCAGCATGTTGTGTGAATTAAGTATGTTTTTATTGACATGCAAAATTGTCAGTGCTCTTAACAACAGTTATTAGCTGAATCCATTAATGAATGACAATTGACATTGAACATGAATAAATACATAAAGAAGTAAAACACAAAATAAGAACAAAAAATAATGTGATGAAGACCAAGTTTCAATGAAACAATCACAATCCAATCAATACGATGCCTTTAAGTCCATCATTTTGGTGTGATTAAGTGGCGATTTTTCTCTGCAGATGATGAGGTTGTGGGATATGATACATCTGAAATACACAATTCAGTTTAGAGTTACAGTGTGTCCATGTGTTTGTGTAAAAACAATTATGTTTATGAAGGCCAAAAGCAAAAATGGACAGTATGTGAGCCCTTCACAATCTTAAAAGAAAAAAGTGATATAAAGTCATGGGATAGTTTTATTATTTTTTGTGACTGGGTGTGAATTATAAATTCATGGTCTCATTTACTTACTTAGTGGAGAAGAGGAGAGAAGTTTCCACAGCTTAGCAGAGTTGCACACACTTATGTGACCAAAAAAAAAAAGAACATGTTTGTTTGGAAACCAGTTACAATTTTAAAGTTAAATTTGTGTTTAAATTTAAGAATGAAATAATTTACCTGTTAAGAGTGTGTTGACAGTCTGTGTAGTTGGATCACTGAACTCCAGAAAATCAGTATGAGGTGCTTTGTCAGTTACAGATATGAAAAACAAAATAAAAGGGTTCTTCAGAATGCTATGGTTCTAAATAAAACCATTACTGCATGTAAAGAACCTTTAAAGAACCATCTTTTTTTAGAGTGTACATATCTGAATATTCTTCGGTAAATTTAAAATGTATTGTTTTTATAGAAAAAATAGCAAGCCTCCTATAATTTAAATAAGCGTTTTGCTTTACTTATAAGAAACAAAGTCGCTGCTTTCAATTTCTGTTATTTAATTTAATGACAAGTATGTTTGAATAAATATGACTGAATAAACCATTTTTTATCATATTTTATTTATATTTTATCATTTTATTTTATATTTCAGCAATAAATTGGAGTAGATTTTTTTTTTATTTGAAAATTGATAGTAAATTTCACAATTAAAAACTCATTGAATTGAACATAAGATTTTAAAGTAGAAGACTGAATTAGGAGTTTCTTTTAAAACCTGTACTCTAATAATCTTTGTTTTATTTACAACTTTGAAAAATCATTTTTACAGTATATATTATTAGAAAGTTGTTATAAAAACTGCAAAAATGTTTACATTTTTTTTCCCTCCGGATAGCTGTTCATGGTGGACAACGCTGCAGACGACTGGAGGATAGCCATGACCTACGAGCGCATCTTCTTCATCTGTCTGGAGATCTTGGTGTGCGCCATACACCCCATCCCGGGCAACTACACCTTCACGTGGACGGCACGGCTAGCCTTTTCCTACGCACCGTCCAAGACGGACGCCGATGTGGATATCATCCTGTCCATTCCCATGTTTCTCCGTCTGTACCTCATTGCTCGTGTCATGCTGCTGCATAGCAAACTCTTCACCGATGCTTCGTCACGCAGTATCGGTGCCCTCAACAAGATAAACTTCAACACACGCTTTGTCATGAAGACCCTCATGACTATCTGTCCCGGGACAGTGCTGCTGGTGTTCACCATTTCTCTGTGGATTATCGCTGCCTGGACTGTGAGGGCGTGCGAAAGGTGGCCCGCTCTGTTGCTCTGACAGTAGATTATGGAAGTCAGTTTTGATGGGGAGATTTTTAGGAGGTCTTTAAGAAACATTTAAAATTGTATGAATATAATTACACTATTTATATATATTACCTACAGTTATACAGAAGTAGTAATATTAATTTGATAATT